AATATCCTAAAGATACCAATGGAACGAAGCTTCAAATAAGTTGATTTTTAGAGGTAATCTTTGTTATATATCTGAAATAATCATGGGGCATTCTATTATCAAAGAAATCTCCTTGCCTCCTTTTTCCCAAAAAATACTCCTAGAGCTGTTTTCATTTTGAGGGGGGAGGAAGTCACTGTTCTCCTCTCTCCCATCTTCTCCTCCCTTCTCATCTTCCCCTATTTTCAGAGACAAAAAGTTTCCCCTATTTGTCTTCGATTTGTTATGATTTTCCTCCAACCATCATATGCGGCTTCGTCTTGGCGTCGGATCTCCACCACCATTCTTTTTGCAGTTTCTTTATGTTTGGAATAAGTCGCAGAGACTCTTTGGGTTCTCTGTATAGTTTTTACCTCTCCTTTTGCGAGAGCTTTTCATCTCTCCTTTGTGAGAGTTTTATTTGTATTGTTATAACTTGGTTTTTTCAAGCTTGATCTCTTTTTGATTATTATGAGTTTGCAATCTTAGTTAGGATGTCTATGCTAGAGTTTCTTCGATCATGAGTGATCGTTAGTGAAGGAACACCAAATTCTCTTAATTTTGATGTCAGATCGCTTTGTTATTACAATTGCCCCTTGTGGCAAGTTTGTATTGACTATTTATGACTAATAATTTTCTTAGCTGAATTATATATGCAATCCAAGAATTTCTCAAAAAGAAAATAATAATAGTCATGATCGATAGTGTTGTCAAAAAGGTAAAATATTTGACTTCTTCGGACATGCACCTTTGAAAGAAGAGTTCACACATAAATTATATAAGAAATTATAATTAGTGCTTGCAATTAACAATTATCTAGCTAATTGATTACGTTGAATTTTTGTTTTGATCACATGCAGGACATGCAGGACAAAAGTGGACCTCTCTTATCCTAATGCAAAGGGGGGCCGGACAGACATTTGTAAGCGGCCATTTTTCACAGAGTGTACGTGGTATATGCCCAGTTGGCTTCTAAACAAAGAGCTCCTTTGTTTTGTAACCCAAAAATAAAAACAGCTTCTTTGTTTTATTTTTAGCCAGTCCACTGTTAATATTTATATAAAAATATGAACAATTTTATATTAACTTCCGCAGTTTCCTTTGATCTGTACACATATTCCGAGCTGGTCACCTGCAAAATTTTTATATCGAAGGTCACCACGTGCCTAGTGACAATCCTTGGCCGTCTCCATGTTTTATCCTTTGTCTTCACATCACATGTCACCACGTACCTAGGAACGATCCTTATGTGCTTTGTCATTTGGTGCTCTATTGATAATGGAGGGCTCTAGTTATTTAATTAGGGTCATTTTTTTTTTCTTTATTATTGTGAATTTGAGATTCTTTTATCGTTTGAAAAAGAAATACCACTTAATCTTAAAGGTAACCATGAATCAAAGTGAGAATGAATCGAATCAACATGTATTCTCATTAAAATATATACTAACTATCATGAATTGAAATGAAGAAATGTTTGATTACTGAAACGCCCTCGAAGAACGTATACTTTATTTTATTTTTTCAAAAACCTACTTCAACTTTTCAAATGGAAAAAACATTTTCACTGACAATAAAAATATTATGTAAAAATTTATTAAAATAAAAATTCATTGTAAATATAAACTATAGTTGCCTGTGATCTGACACATTATATATTATACTTCCACTCCTACTGAGAATTGGGCTCAAGTCAACCATCTTTGATGCTTTCGAGTGTGTGTAGAGTACGAAAATTCTGTGGTGCGCCGGCTGTACCGGTACACCCGGTGATCCAAGGGCTGATTTTGCATGTTAAAAATGGATGGCTGAGATTCAATGACTTAGTAACCTGTTGAGCCCTTTATTATTCAACATGTGCATCGCATGTGACTGTCAAAAAAGCAGGTTTAGAGGATGAAGACCACGCGCACTCTCCTATCTTGTTGCCCAAATTGAAAATCCTAACAGCCTCCACGAACTCCTCTCTAATTGCCCAAATCCAATCGTTTGCACCTCCAGGAAATCTTCTCTCTGCTTGCCCAATCTCTGTGCTTGCCGACGATGTCTTCTCTCTACTTCTCCAGGAACTGTTATATCTCACTTGCCCAAATCCATCCTAAGCGTGTCCAATGGTGATGGAATTGAAGTCGTCCACGAGAAAACCCAAGCCGACCCTGGCGACTCTGCCTAAGTGATTTCCTCAACTCTCCTCTCAGCTTTTCCAAAACTGATGTGCAGATACCAATTTGACGATGGGTCCAACCTCCATTATGTAATGGTCACGAAATTGGAGGTATTTAATTTATTTTGTTCTGTTGAAAATTTGGAAACATCAAGTAAGAGTTCAAACAACCCTCTTTTTCTGGTTTAGGAGTTGAATGTATTTTGGGTAATGAGTTAATGTAATTGCATGTATTTTGGTTACTTGCTTTTCTTCGTCTTTGTGCTATACATTCATTAGCTTCGTGTTTACACTCCGAAGAGTTTGCCAATAGTCGAGCAGCGTTTGCATTGCAAACATGTAATTGCATGATGGTGATGCAATGCAAGAGTGACTGTGCGCAAACGAAAATAAGAAAAATGGATCATATTTTATTGTACAGGCATAATTAGACATATTTTTTACTATAAATCGAAGGGAGCAATTATCCGAAATACAAAGCATGATAAACGGTAAAGGGCAATAATCCGAATATATTATATTACAAAAGGACCAATTATTCGAAAATACCTAGTAATAAAAATTGTCATGTAGTACGAATCACATTCAAAAATATCCCAAGAAAGTATGTTAGCAGATAGATTATAATGTAATTTTAGTTTGAATTTATGTTTCTCAGGCTTGGAGGGGTCTGCTAAGATGGACAGGGGTGTAGAGACTTCAAAGGGTGGTTGTAGTGATTCAGGGTATCTAGGTGGTTGTGAAAGGTCGAGTCATGGGGCACCGGCAACAGAGAGTGTGCATATGTCTGTTGAACATCCGGTTAGTCAAAGTACTGATGATAATGGTGTAGACATTATTGTACCGAGCAAAGAAGATATTATGGGGAAAGAGTTTAAAACGATAGAATTAGCGGAAGAATATTATATGAGTTATGCAAAGGGTATTGGATTTAGTGTGAGGAAAGACAAAATGATTCGTAATTTGGAAGGGAAAGTATGTAGGAGACGGTGGTGTTGTTATAAAGAAGGTTTGAGAAATGAGAAGTTTAATGATCGATCGGATAGGATTCGGCAACCGAAGCCAATTACAAGAGAGAATTGTCCTGCCCATTTTTGGGTGGGTTATGAGAAGAAACGTGATAGTTACGTCGTTACGAAATTTGAACCACATCACAATCATGAACTAGTTACTCCACTTGAATCGCCATATCTTCGATGTAACCGTGTTGTTCGAAATTCGGATTTAGCACAAGCAGTGGGAATGCGAAGAGCATTGGTTAGAACATGTCATACATATGAGTATATGGTCGACCAATGTGGCGGGTATTTAAATGTTGGTTTTCAAATAAAAGATCTGTACAATAAGTTGGATGCATCACGCAGGGAAATTTTGCTCGACGGTGACACAGAAGCCGCACTCTCTTACTTGAAAGCGAAAGGAGCAATGGATCCAGAATTCTTTTGTAAGTTTAGTGTTGACGAGGAAAATAGGCTTGGTAATTTGTTTTGGAGGGACTCCACTTCACTTTTGGATTACATTGCCTATGGCGACGTCCTCATATTCGACAGCACATACAAAACAAATATCTATGACAAGCCCCTAGTGTTGTTTGTCGGTTCGAACAACTACCGTTCTACTGTAATGTTTGGTTGCGCATTATTGCATGACGAGACATTTGAAACTTACAAGTGGTTATTGGAAACATTCATGGCATCCATGAAAGATAAGAAGCCAATATCAATATTGACGGATGGCGATGAGGCCATGCGTAAAGCCATTGATGATGTGTTTCCCATGTCTAACCATCGGTTGTGCTCATGGCATGTGTCAAGGAATGCACAGACTAACTTGAAGGATGATGAATTGCTAAGAAATTTTCAGGCATGTCTTTGGGAACCATTTGCGTTGGACGAGTTTGAGAAGAAATGGGAGGTTTTGAGGGAAAGAGCGAGTACTCCAAAACAAAAAGAATGGTTAGAAACGATGTATGCAAAAAGAGACTCATGGGCTGAATCATGTCTTAGAGGAAAGTTTTTCGGTGGTATGTGCACCACTCAACGCGTGGAGTCCATGAACAAGTATGTGAAGGATTACTTGAGGAAAGGCGTGAAGTTGTTTGAATGTATTCCAGCAATTGATAGGGCTATGTTACGTCTTAGGAATACCACGGCGAAGGATGGTTTCAACGCAAAGTACTCAACACCAGTCCTTAAAACCGCATTGACAAAACTAGAGCAACAAGCTTATCTGATTTACACGCATAGGTGCTTTGTATTGGTACGTGAAGAGATCGAAGCTTGTTCAGCACTCATTCATGATAAGGTGATGTATAATTTTGGAGGTCGTGTATACGTATTGTCAAAATATGGTGAACCGCATAATAATTGGACTTGTGTTTACCACGGTGGGGAAAATATGCGGATAGAGTGTGGATGCCGGAAATATGAAAGTGAAGGGATCCCGTGTTGCCACCTGTTTTATGTAATGAAGTGCGAGCACCTTACGGAAATTCCTCCAACACTCATAATGAAGAGATGGACAAAGAATGCCCAAAGCGATACATGTACAGAATGTTTCGACAAAGGCAAAGACACTACCAACGAAGGTGTAGAAATGGCGAGGTATGGAAGTTTAAGTGCTATGTCAAACAAAATATGTTTTTATGCATCGAAGAGTGCAGATGGTTATGCCATGTTGAGAAATGAGTTTAGTAGATGGGAGGGAATTTGTGAAGGCTTACGGGAAAAGGAAGAAGAGACAAGTCTGAAATTGGGTAGTTCTGGGCAATGTCCTCTAAATATTGTGAAAGATCCAAAGATCGTTAAGACAAAAGGCACTCAAGCAAGCCAGGGTGGAACGCGCAAGCGTCGACAATGTCATTTGTGTCGCGGATATGGACATACAAAGCGTAATTGCTCTCAAAGAAACTTGCATCCAAGTAGAATTGCTGAGAAAGGGCCGTCCCCGGACATTAGCTATCAGTATAGTACTGAGAAAGGGCCGTCCCCGGACATTAGCTACAGTTATGCAAGTGAAACGGTTTCTCAATCCAGAGGCAACTATGTGGTTGATTTGTCCGGTTCTGATAGTTTTTCTACTGCAGACCGAACGGGTTCTACCCCCAACACTGACGATGGTTTCTCATTCGACAATGGTGAACATATTTCCCTATCTACTGGTTCTACCCAAAACAATTGTAGTTTTGGAACTTGGTTTACATGTAACAATTAACATTAAATGTAGATTTAGTGATGGACAAGATGCTTTCATATGATTGATATATTATTGTTTTATGTATGTATTGTTGAGAAACTGTGTTATGACTTGTATGGGGTGCTTGAATGGAAGTTTGATGTATCCGAAATACATAGCATCAGAAAGGGTAAGGGGCAAATATTTTTTCAATATTAGAATCAGTAAAGAGCAATTATCTGAAACAAGAATCGGTATTAGAAAATTGTTGGCCCGAAAAGTGCGAATTACAATGCAAAATATACCCAATTTCGTAAACCATAATTGGTTATTCTTATTTTGAATCATATCCATAGGGTTATAATGAAATTGTTACTTGCTTTTGTTTGTGTTGGCTATATACCTTGATTACCTTTGTGTTTACAGTCTTAAAGGTTTTGCACACAGCCGGTCCGAATTTGCATTGAAAACATGCAATTGCATGACAGTGACGCAATGCACGAGTGACTGTGCGCAAACGGAAATAAGAAATTTGTGTTGGCTTTGTGTTTAAAGTCTTAAAGGTTTTGCATACAGCCGGTCCGAATTTGCATTGAAAACACGCAATTGCATGATAGTGACGCAAAGCACGAGTGACTGTGCGCAAACGGATATAAGAAATATGGATCCGATTTTGTTGTACAGGCAGCATTATACGTAGTTTTTTGACTATAAATAAGGTAGGGCGAAATCAACGGAAATACAGAGCATGAGAAACGGTTAGGGGCAGTAATCCAAACATATTATATTGCAAAAGGACCAATTATCGAAATTACCTAGTAATCCAAAATATCCCGAATTTCGTAAACGAAAATGTGATTAACCCTAATATTTAATAATAGACATAGGGTCATAATGAAGTATTTACTTGCTTTTGTTTGTGTGTGCGCTATACATTAATTAGGATTGCGTTTTTAAGCTATATTTAGTTTGCCCACAGCTGGTCTCCATTTGCATTGCAAACATGCAATTGCATGACAGTGCTGCAATGCAAGAGTGACTGTGCGCAAATCTCTAATAACGAAAATTTGATCGGTTCATAATTGTATATCATTTTGTACCCTTCTAGCTTATGATTTGGTTATGTTATTGAGTTAAACTTGTGCTTTTAATTCATTTTCTATTTTGATAAGTCCATAATTTCATACACTTGCATGCCTTCTTTACTTAGTGATTTTGCTTAGTTTCTCTTTATTTTGAGTCACTTACCTATGTTTGTGTGTTTTGTAGGTTAAGATAGCAAGAGATAACATTTGATGCAATCCATGCATGTTAAGGGCTGATTGGCATATGAGGAATATGAGCTTAAAGACAAACACATTTTGGCTACAACCCCTTTCCAGCCCAATTTCGTAGGTCAACTTCTTGGCCTTGGATCAGCATGATATGGGGCTCGAATGAGGTGAAGATCTTCATGAAACTTGTTCCAATGGGTGTCTACTAAAACATATCCAAATTTCAGCCCAATTGGATATTTGTGGAGTGCTCAGCCCGTCCAACACCCAACCTTGCTCAGCAGGATTTGCAGCTGCCAGCTTTGAGCCTTGTCTCATCCTTTAAGCCATGTGCCTCACCCATGCTGCAACTGACTATGGATCCAACATAATGAGTGAAGTGGGGAGGCATTCCAGCAATGAAAATCTAAAGGAGCAAGTTGGTACATAATGGAGCTATTAAAGAGAAAGCATGTGCATGCATGCAAAGAAGAGAAAGGAGAGAGATGAAGAATAAGGAATGATGAGAGGCATTTTGCTTCAGCCTTTGAACATGGGAATTGAATTGGCAGATCACTTTGGAGCTGGAAATCAGGTTTTAATTGAAAGAGGAAGCATGTGCATGCATGTGAATCAAAAAGGAAAGAAAAGATGAAATGAAGTCAATTCCAGTCTCTGTTCGGCAGCCAAATT